ATAAATTGGTGAAATAATTAATGTATATTCAACGTTCTGTGAGTGTTTCTAACTCCAAAATAACTCATTTGAATATTAAAAAATAGCTATTTACTTGGTATATCGTGCGTCAGAAAACTGTCTTTAGCATAATGACCTGAACTTGCTATTTTTTCTCGATTACAATAGATTCCGATCCCGAGAGTACCAGTAGCGCCACTAGTTGTTTGAGTGAGAAGCAAGCTAGTTCTGTTCAATTTATACCGTCCATTAACTCCGTCCATAAACCAGGTAGGTTCCAGTGATTTAGATTAACGTGATTCAGAATAATATAAAAAAAAAAAACTGGAAATGATGTAGAAAATCAAAAGTTAAAAGTAAGCAAAACTAGATTTAAAGACCTATCATTTTCACTTCAGTTCCACAAGGTTCATATTCGTGTACTGACGGACAGTATAGCACTATAATTTTATAATTATTAAGCTTACAATGAATACAACTTACTGACCAGAACTAGCTGCCTCGACGTGCCAACGGTTTTTTGTGTCCTGTTTGTCATTGTTAAAAGATAAATGAATTAAAACAATACCGCTACTCCTAACAATAGCCAAACTATATAACAGGAATGTTTTTAAAATTAAAACAGTACCGCTACTGCTAACAATAATCAAACTATATAATACCGTTATGTAGAAATAACAAGAATGTTCTTTTAAATTTTATGCGTTTATGAAAACAAGTTAATCAAAATACACTGTTTTCGTAAATACTTAGTTTACATAAATTTTATTGAATCTATATTTCAAAACTTCACACCGTTTCTGTTTCGGGTTAAAATTTATAAAGGATTCTTCTTCCCTTGTGTTTTAAAGTTGAACGACATTTCAGGCTCTATGCTGAAGTCTTCTTTAAGCACTTTGTCTCTTGTGTCGCGGGAATTTATGTTGGAGGTGCTGACCTGTTGCAGAGCTCTCGTTTGAGTTCTGTTGAATGACATTTGTATAGTGTTTGAGATGTCTGGTTGTTCAAAGGCTGTTTGTTTTGTGACGTAATTATTGTGACTGTATTGTTTGGGGGAGAGAGAGAAATTTCAAATATTGATGATCTCAAGGTTTTTTGAATTTTGACGGGAAAGGATTCTTTGATATTTTTTTAGAGCTGTGTCCAGGATTGGGCGTTAGTGCTAATTTGATATTATCAATAACTTCTGATGAAACCAAGCTAACTTCATGGATCACAACTAAAAGTAACATTGATTTATTAGTTGGATACCTTTGCAGTTATCAGTGTCTTTGGCCGTAAACCAAATACCTTACGATAATTCGGACAGCTCAGGGAATTTATATCAATTATAAACCTATATATTAAATTAACAATGTATAAAACTCCTCAGACTAGAGTTTGTTTGTTTGTTTGTAATTAAGCACAAAGCTACACAATGGGCTATCTGTGCTCTGCCCACCACGGGTATCGAAAACCCGGATTATAGCATTGTAAGTCCGAAGACATAGCGCTGTGCCACTGGGAGGCAAACTACTATAGATAAATGTAAAAATAAATATATTATGTATATTAACTATTTTAATCAAAATGGATAATGACATTAACCTTAATAATGGAATGTAATTTTACATACAAAATGCATAAAAACTACTAGTTTGGTTTACGCCCCGTTAATGATTCTCTGTCTATAGAAAATCCAGTTTGGTGTTTTCGGCTAAGGCAGATTATCACTAAGCACGGTAGTGTATAGTATGTAGGGATGGAGCCGGGAAAAAATAGCCGTTACATATTATGTATTGCTCATCATTGTCTCAAATCTCTCTTGTAAAAATGTAAAAGGCTTTTATAAACACCTAATTTAGGTTTTCAAGGTTTTGAAAAGCTATTAAGGCCTCCAGTTTAGCCAAAAGACTGATTTCTCCAAGCCCGTTCCCTTGGCTGTGGTTTCGCTAGATAGTAGATAGGGACAGTGGGAATCTCGTTAATCCTTTTAACTTGGGGAGTGCAGAAGCAGTATAGTGTTTTACTAACTCCAATATAAGACGTCCATCAAGACAACTCATTAAAAAAAAAAGAGGGGAAACAAGTAATAAAAGAAAATTGGAAAATTCAGTATGATGTAGGGATGATAATGGCAATAAGTACAGAAACGAGGTAGGGATGAATACACAAAATCATACAAAAATCTCTACATAAGTAACCGCTGAGTCAATATTACAAGCTTATGGGAATTAGTGATTGTTAGTCTTTACAGCATTATTCAGTTTAAATGCTTTTATTCAAACCTGAATTCATGCAAATGAAAGGAATTCAACATTTAGCTGTAGATAAAAGTTTTTCTTGGAAATATTTTGTTACTTATGTAGATATTTTTTGTATGGTTTTGTGTATTCATCCCTACCTTGTTTCTGTATTTTTTGGCATTGCCATCCATACATCATCCTTATATTTTTCAGTTTTTTATTACATGTTCGGAATAATGTAGCCTTATGGAATATTTCTGTTCTTCTCAGTCTTTAACATGTTAATTCTACCTGTTTCTCCTGTGTAATCCCCATCACCCCAAACATGCATGCACTTCCAAATGTGGGGGCGTTAAAAAGTGGCGGTCAATCCCACTATTCGTTGGTAAAATAGTAGCCCAAGAGTTGGCGGCAGGTGGTGATGACTAGCTGCCTTCCCTCTAGTCTTACACTGCTAAATTAGGGACGCTAGCGCAGATAGCCCTCGTTTAGCTTTGCGCGAAATTCATAACAAACAAACAAATCTATGTAACCACCGCCGTAAGAGTAAAGAACTTTATAGATGAGTCATCTGTGTTTTACATTATTGGTGTTTCATGTTCGTGAGAGTAACCAAATATTCCTGATCATAGAGAGAGAAACGTCTTCCTGCTCAGGTCATTACAAATGTTAACTCTTTAATGTCTGCTCAATGAAACAATATCGTTCCTTCGTTTAATAAATATATAATTTGCAATACGCATTTTTTAATTAATTGAAATTTAAACATTTCATTGAATAATGCACATAAGTTATTTTTATTATTACAAGCTAAGCAATATTGTTATGAATTACAGAAATATAATTAAGTTTGTTATTTCGGTTGATGTCTGTATAATATTTGTGGTCCATTTGTAACACAAGTGATACAACTAGTTGTATATTGTTGAGCGTTAACAGATGCTACAAAAACAAACACGTGGACAGCCAAAGCTTTAATAACATAAATGTTTTTCCTTTAGTTTCATTGGTTACAAAAAAGATTGGATCAGGTAAAAGAGGGAGGCCACCTAAGAAAGATGCTAAGTCCCGGAATAGGCAAGGTAAGAAATACAATAAATTTTCGTGTTTTTTTTATCTTTTATCGATAAGTATTTCATTAACTTGTACTTTTGAAACGTTCAGTTTTCGTTTTCATGTTTTCTTAACATTATATATTACATTCAGATTAGAAAAATTTATCATGATTATTAACTTCTTTCCTTGTTTTACTTTAAAAATATGTTCACCTATATTTAACAATGAGTATAAGTAACTACGTAACGAGATACAGGTTCTATTTAATAACAATTACTGTGAAAGCTTCGCCACTGACGATGAAACATTTCTAAAAATTCGTAAGAACATATAAATCCTTTTAATATGTATGTATTTAAACTTGGGTATAATCATCGTTACAGGAAAAGGACACGGAAAACTTTGGGAGTTTATTCGGGATTTGTTATTGAATCCAGTGTACAATCCTAGTTACATACGATGGGAGCGACGCGAAGAAGGAATTTTCAAATTCGTACAATCGGACAAAGTCGCCAAATTGTGGGGTGAACGCAAACAGAACACCAGCATGACTTACGAAAAGCTGAGCAGAGCAATGAGGTGTGAATGGTTTCAATACAACTAATTGTAGTGTATAATAAATAGTTTAATGTTATTGTTTTTTTTACTAGAATTAAACCTTTATTCGTGTTTGTTATTACTATGAGTTCTGATTCAACTCAGTTTCTTCATATATTTTGCCTGATAAATCAAATTACATAAAGCTTTACGATTTTTTTTTAAATTGCAAATACAAACTGTATAGAAATTTAAATAGTTTGAGATGGCTGTGGAAAATAGAAGGAATAAACCTATTTCCTAAAGTAGAGGTATTATTCAAATAATTAATACAAATAAAATAAGTTAATTTCTTTTTTAAGTGATATTAACTACATCTTAGTTAAGTAATTGAAACCTTCCTTAGTTCCTTGTTGTCTCAAAAAGTAATTATTGTACACTACTTGTGCCCACTCTGTGCCAAAATTTCTAATACGTAATGCAATATTGTAATTTATCTGTTATCTTAATATCGGAAAAAAAAGAGTACTAACGTCATGTATGTTTTTTTTTTGGGGGGGGGGGAGCACTGAAGACTATATCTGCTTCTTCTGCTTCCTAACAATATGTCTGTTAAAATTATTTTCACGAGATCTGCTTCTTTATCGATCAGCTAGCCCAGTATTGTCACATTTTCCTGTGAGACTTTTCATAAACAGTTAAATTAATGTCTTCGGGCCAGCATGGCCAGGTGGTTAGGGCGCTTGACTCGCAATCTGAGGGTCGCGGGTTCGAATCCCCGTCCCCCCATACATACTCGCCCTTTCAGCCGTGGGGGCGTTATAATGTGACGGTCAATCCTACTATTCTTTGGCAAAAGAGTAGCCCAAGACTTGGCGGTAGGTGGTGATGACTAGCTGCCTTCCCTCTAGTCTTACACTGCTACATTAGGGACGGCTGGCGCAGATAGCCCTCGTGTAGCTTTGTGCGAAATTCAAAAACAAACAAACAATTAATGTATTGGAGATACACTTTCCGAGCGTACACTTAACCACAGTTTGTTTTTTCTTGCGACAATCTTTTTCGTGAAAACAACCATTGAATTTGAGATGTGGTTAGAAAACATGACGTTTAGTTTGTGAGTCTTGAAAATATTGTTTATGGTCGGAGGTTTTCTTTCGTAAGTGTAGTCTTCACTTTACTGAAAAGAACATTATTCTATATTGCCTTGGAGAATGGTCTAGAACTTCGTTCCTATCCTAAACGCTCTACAGTGTGTGAGCTTCTTCTCTTCAATAGAGAACATGGAAGTATTCTTTCTTTCATTGCTGTCCTAGACGCTCTGCTGTGTGAACTTCTCTTCCATGGAGAAGACGGAAGTATTATTTCTTTCGTTGCTGTCCTAAACGCTCTACTATATGAACTTCTTCTCTTCCATGGAGAAGACGGAAGTATTATTTCTTTCGTTGCTGTTGTAAACGCTCTGATATGCTAACTTCTTCTCTTCTTTAGAGAACATGGAAGTATTCTTTCTTTCGTTGCTGTCGTAAACGCTCTACTGAATGAACATCTTTTCTATGGAGAATACGGGAGTACTCTTTTTATCGTTGCTGTCCTAAACGCTCTACTGTGTGAACGTCTTCTCTGCTATGGAGAACACAGAAGTATTCTATCTTTAAAGTGAAGTATCATTGAGATTCAAATCGTTAAAAGGTTTCTCTGTGTGAATATTTCTGTTCAGACACCAACTTACCTTGGAAGATATATTACAAGTCCGGGCAACATAAATTTCTATCTACCTCATGGACGGAAACGGTAGCTAAATGGCATGGCTCTCATTTCATGATCTGTAAATAGTTCTATGTACAGGAAGGTTCATGGTTAAGATATATATAGCCTCTTTTATCATAATTTCTCGATTGGGTTTGCTATGTACATGCAAAGATATATGCAAATTTACGGTTTCACATTTTGTATTTTGCAGTTTGTATTGGCGTTTTTTTACAATTACATATAAGGAAAGCAACTTTTCATGCCCTAAAATAACCTTTCATTAATCACGAATTTACATAACTTCCGTCCAAGGATCGGGTACTCTAGTTAATGTATATAATATATTTATCTGATGTAATAAAAACACAGACATATAGATATTATATATACATATATGTGTTTGTACTCACGAAGTATTCCTTAAATGTATACTGTTTTCTAAGGTATAAAGTAATAAACGTAAGCGAGAAATACAGTTTTACAGAATTTTATGTGATAAATATGAAAATAGTCAGTCTTAGCATTATAAAATCTGAAAAAGTGATTTAAAATATATATTTTTTGTTTCTTTAGGGATAAGAAATTTAATTATGTATTAGTAGGGAAACTTCTAGTTATTCCAGTTCACAATTAATATTTTTAATTGATAGATTTTTCTTAAGTTTTCAAAATTGAAACACATAAGTCCTGTATATCCTATCGGAAATTGTAGTTTTCGAAAACTTTTGAATTTCTTTGTGAAATAGCAACAAAACTTAAATCACCATTTTTGGGTTATGTAAGAGAAACATTAATATATGTTTTGGTTGATTTGCGCCAGCGAGTAAATAGACATCTTAAAACTCTGGGAATACAAATCGAACATTTTCATGATATCGTATTCAAATAACACTGACACTTAAACACGGGTATAGCTTTGAAAACGACACTGAATGCAACAAGCCATGCTGTAAACGAAAGGGTCCACGGATATTAGCTGTATTTTCACATTGTCACATAGCTGGACGATGGAACTGGTCAAATTCATCGAGATATCATCAAGTCACGTGCAATTTTATTGAAACGTTATTGTCCACGATTAATAAGGTGGCAATACTCCATTCTCATTGCAACGGTTTCTGCACGTCCAGGCATTAAATACCATCAGAACAATATCTTCCTGCTCTGATAAGAAACAATATCAAACGGCTGCTACTGTTGCAGGACATGCGCAAATGTGTTCCAATACAATAAGAAGTTTTCATTATAGCATTGACTACAATGATGAAATAGCTATATGGGAACCACTCCTCAGACCAGACAAAAGTTGATATTACAAATGCTATCACTCCATCCTGCCTTTTAGCACATCGTAGTTTTTTTCGAAAAGTGCAGATCTGTACAATTCTCGAACAGTGGACGAGTGTCCTCCCAGGAACTTTCGTTGGGCCACGACAAAATACGGGAGTATTTCTCTTTGGAAACTGAATGAATATTGAAGATGTGTGGTCCATATGGCTTGAAGGTCAGGGCATTACCGTCCTCCAGTGGCCCAAGCAACTAGTAGACATCAACCATATTGAAGATGTGTGATCCATATGGCTTAAAGGTCAGGGCATTATCATCCTCAAGTGGCCAAAGCAACTGGTAGATATGAACCATACTGAAGATGTGTGATCAATATGTCTTGAAGATCAGGACATTACCGTCCTCCAGTGGCCAAACCAACTGGTAAATATGAACAATATTGAAGATGTGTGGTCCATTCTTGGTCATCCCGTGCGAAAACTTTCAGAACGAGCAATCTCTAAGGATACCCTCATCCAAATTCTTCGTCAGGAGTTTGATGACCCCCCCCCTCTGGTGTAGATTTCATATCTTCTGAATACGATAGGTAACGATGACTTCCTTAAATATTGTAAAGGGCAAATTCACAATATACTTATCGTAATGCTGTTGTACCCTTTGTTTCATGTTTGCTTATTTAATAAAATGCATTATTTCTTGAGTAGGCATCTATTCACTTATTAGCAAGATGTGTATAAAACTGTATGATCTTTCTTTAATCTGCGACATTTATCTTTTTTTGAATTACTTATCTATGGGATGTTTATCGAAAAAGTAACAATAGATTAATATTTAAAATACTTTTAGTTAAGAACATTTTAGTTCATATTCTATTCCATTTTTTCTTTGAACAAAAGTTCTTCAGTAGCGGTAATGTCACTAACTCTATTCTTTCTGTATTACGCTTAGGACCTACTACAATATTGGTATTCTGGCGCCAGTTCCAAAGAACAAAGGTCTTCCTAAGAAACTTGTATACAAGTTTGGACCTCGATCTTCAGGGTGGTGATAGTCTATGTGCATGATCTGGTGACACTTATGGTGGTGGTGGTACTAATAAACTATCAAACTAATCAATGAAACATGATCGTCTTGTGATAATTACATAATTTCACTAATGAACCATGGTTTCTTTGCCTGATCTCTGTACACTCTAAAGATCTGCTTCTCAAAAGGTAGCCCGTTTGCGACGACCAGCTTCTGAAACCTCGACTCCTGGCCCGCGTCACTCCTTTTATTTAAAGTTGTTTGAGAACAGTTTAGTAGCGAGATGCTACTTGTATTCAGTAATTAAATGTAAGAAGCTACTTATAGGTAAAATTGCATTTCCTTTCTGAAGTGATATTTTTCTCAGATGTTTTCTTAGTTATCTAATCAAACAATATTCTTCCAAGTTTTATTTTGAGACATGTTATAATGACATGTTTAGGTCAGAAGCTAAGCATACTACAAGGAAAGTTCACAATGCTAGTATTTCTAATAAATATCGAAAATCTATTGTGCTTGTGGTAAAACCATGATGATAGTTATGTTATGATCAATACATAGAATGCTGAATACTGTTACCTACTTGTGAGGGAATGAAGAAATATAAAACCTAGAAACTCGATATACAAATAATCCCATAAAACGATTAGGTTATCAAGGATATATAATTGTGATTTATCTAACAACTTTCACCTTTGTTGTTTCTAAGTGCTATAGTAATATATATATATATTAAAGTTTCCCTATTACTTTGCCCTTTCTACTATATTCTTCGGTCACTAAAAGTTACACAAAGATGAAGTGTAAGGTTTTAGAGTTCTTAGGTCACTGTCTACTAATGCATTAATAATTCCTGATACGGGGCATGCTGAAATATAAAGCTAATCTAAGTGGTGTTATTTTTCTATATCATATAATTGTTTCATTAATTAATACACTTCTCTCGTTATGGTTTGGTTTGCTTAAAATTCAAGCAGAAACATTACGTTAAGCTATTTTGAGTAACTACCTTTAACAAGTAATATATCTTGCTATACAAATATATATTTATCCACTCCCCCCCACAGTGGCACAGCGGTATGTCTGCGGACTAATACTACTATAAACCGGGTTTCGATACCCGTGGTGAGCAGAGCACAGATAGCCCTTTGTGTAGCTTTGTGCTTAATAACAAACAACAACAATTTATCCACTCTGTCTTTTCAGCTTATAAGTGTGCCCTGGATACATAGAAGAACATGAGATAAACGAAGTACAATCTATGAAGTACAATATGTCTTAAGTTATACTTTGCTGATTTGATTACTTGTGCTTTTATGTTTCCCAAATGTTCATGAAACCAAAGATCTAACAATTCACTGTACGTAACAAACATTAATAGACCCTACGACTCACAGGAACCTCTCAGTGGCTAAGCGGTAAGTCCGAAAGCTTATAACGCTCAGAACCGGATTTCGATACCCGTGGTAGGTACACTACAGATAGTCCATTGTGTATCTTTGTGCTCAACAAACAAACCGCATCACTCTGAAAGATACGGTCGTCTATCTTTGGGATTTCCTTGACTTACGAAGGGAGGGATCCATTAAGTCATGCCAATACTGGATCCTTGTTAGTACCTCATGGAAATGGTTAATCCCTGTTATTTAAAACCAATATTTTAAAAGATATAATATTAATCCATTCTAGAGTAAGAGAATGTCTGTATGCTGTCACTCAATGTGTGTCTGTGTTACGTATTACAATTTCGAATGGTCTGAAACCGAGCTAAATGATAAGTTAAATTTAGTAGTTAAATAAATGCCGATATGTGTGTAATTTATTATATTTGCCAACAAGATTGATACGCACAGTTTCTTTTTTAATACAAATATGCTTTAATATATAAACAATAATACAATTTACAATTACAGTTATTACAAACAATGATTTATAAACAAAAGTTTCACAAACTTTCAAACAGTTTAAAGTCTTCTTTCTAGTCTGGAACTTCCTTGATGTCTTATCGAGGGTTCAAGATGAGCGAGTTAATTTCGAGTTGATGTAGGTACAATTCACATAGTAGGAAGCTAGCTAGCTCTGTGAAATTCACTGATCACACGTCGATTTTTCCTAACGGTGACGTTAGGTAATGTTTTTGTATAAGTACTAATGTCCGATGTGAATCCACTGAAGTTGAATGATTTGTAATGTTCGAAATTTATAAACGTTTCTAGTCAATATATCTGAAGTTCCCGATTAGTAAGTGTTAATCATAATTATAGCTTCCAAGGTTTATAGCACACCAATTACAGCAACCCAATAATAGATACTGTTGTTTGGCGCGTCGAGTTGTTTATATTTATAGGCGATGGAGAGTTTCTCGAAATTTCAGTTTTACTTAATAATATTGACACTAACGTTTACGTACACACATATATTTTTGGTTCTTACACTCGAGAATCTTCTAGAACTTTAGAGAATAGGAGGGAGTTTCACAACACATATTTAACAGTATAAGTTATGTACATTTCTAAATATACATTTAATTTAAACAAACATCGATATTAAAATCTAAGTACAATAACAAATCCGTCACAATCCGTCTGTATGTTTTCATTGCAAAGCCACTTTGGGCTATCCGCTGTGTCTACCAGTGATAATCGAACCCCTGATTGTTGCTTTGTAAATCCGTAGACTTACCACTGTACTACCGTGGGACGCTGTCATTTATATTAAAACATGATTTCAAACTGTCATTAAATTCAAAAAACTTCAAATGATGTTCTAAGGTAGCGTCCGTAACATCAGAACTCTGTTTTATGTGGTTTAAGTTTCAGGTTTGTTTAAATTTATTGTTTTCATACGACTTTAAAATTAAGCATTAGTTGCCATGAACAATAACCATTATAATTAATTTTGTAAACATGTTCATATTGGTTAAAAACCTTTATACAAAATCAATGCCACGAAATATAATCACGAGTGTATCGTAAAAAACAAATCATGCACTTTTGGTGGTGCTTTCGAACGGTGCACTGAAACTTAAAGTATACTTGCGTGTAAATATTGTCTGTAACACATGTTTTCTTATTTTTATTATAATTTCATGACGGCAATTGTTTTGGATGACCAAACATTAATTGTGCGCCTGTTGATAATTGGAAAGGAATAACTGATTTAGGTATATTATTTTTTTATACAACCGTGCATATGTAGTTAGGTGCAAAAAGTTTATTTTGTCTTTTGTGTTAAAAGATTCGATTTCACGAATATGTCAAATCTAAAGGTATTGTAAATATTTTATTAAAAGTAGAGTGTATAAATATAGCAACGTGAGCAAGTCTTAGACTTCATGTACGCCAAGGTTTATATTATAAGTAACTTACTTTTGTACTAGTCACTGAAATAAAATAAATAAAAATACGTTTTGATTGTTTAAATAAGCACTAGTGGGGACCAAGAGAAGAACGTTAAACAAACATGTAGTTATAATTAACATTCTGCCTTTTTGTTGCTCTTTTTATGCGTCGTTATTTGATTGTATTTCATTAAAAAAAGTTCAGAAGGGTTTCTTGCGGTTATAGCACTTGTGCTTAATAGCAAATGTTCACAAAATATAATATAATTCTTTGATTAACTACTGATAAGCGAGCTGTTTAAAAACAGTATAGAACGTTGTTGTTTTAATAGTGTGTGATGCTAAAAAGAAATGTGTTTAGGGTAGCAGGTACATTCCAGACAGCAGTGTGCTCAAAATGCGTATTTCAATCGGTTTACAATCTTAACTGAAAACTGAAAAATGTTCACGTAATTAACACAACTTTTATTCGGTAATGCTAATATGATAATTAGTAAGATATTAATTGAAATTGTTTACACAACAGATACTACTACAAGAGTCAGGTTCTGCTTCCTGTGTTTGGGCGCCGTCTGGTATACAAATTTGGACCTAACGCTACCGGCTGGAGACCTCAGATCCAGTACTAGTAAACTACAAACTACTGCATTTGTTCAAAGTAAACCGTTTTGTAACTTTACTCAACATAGACTATACTCTAATCGGTAAGTGAAATATTTCGACTCAGCCTCAAATCGCAGGATACATTAAATGACGTTATGGAGGATGCGCTCAAAAATTTGAGTATCGCTTTTCGTTTTTGACACTTTTAAAAGTCTATCAAGAAAAGCTCAATCTTTTGCTTAGAAAATGTTGTAAGCTTAAGACTAAACATGACTTGTGAAAAGTATTGAATTGATGCAAAATGTTGATGGAAACCTACGAGAAAGAATGGTAATGAGAAAACACTAAATAACAACGTAGAGTGAACTTTTTCTGTATTACGTTTAAAGCTATTATAGAAGATAGAGCACATTTCTTGTACAGAGATGTAATGTGTATATATATTTAGAAAAGATCTTAATATGTTTTTGAAAACTATTATTTAGATATATTATATAAAATGTACTGTAACTTCGGTTTCGGGAGCTGTTAGAACAAATTATAGTTGTCATATTATTTTAGTGTTTCATATTCTATATTGAAACAATTGTTTAAATAAAAAGATATAAGTGTTGTTAAAGCATTAGTTGTTGATAGATATTGACGTTTTTTATTCCTCATTGAATAAAGCTACCAGCTCTTCGTATTTTATGTAAAAATCTTATTCTTTTTTGTTGATTACAGTCAATATTTTCAAAAGAATATTATTGAAATGAAACTGATATTCTAATAAAATTTGAACATTTCAATATTTAAGCACTAACCTTGTTTTCTAATAAAGAAAACATTTTCGATCCCCCAGTCAGCACATCCTCACTGACTGTAGTCAATATATGGTTTAAGAGAAGTTTTAAGACGTTAATCTAACATTCTGAAATACTATTACGATTAAAGTAAACGTGTAAATCGTAAACACACTTATCACAAAACACACCGTATATAAGTTGGAAGCCTTTAGAAATTTCAATTTATGTTTCGAAGCGTGTTTTTCTTTATGTGAAAGCAACATTGGTTCGAATTTTGAGAAAATTCATTTCAACTAATCTTCGACGTTGGACACGTAAGAGCCACAGACGACGAGGTTCCTTTAGGTAAGATCAGTGAAGTGATAAGAAATTGCAAGACGATAACAGAATTAATTTGTTGTAAATTCTGTCAAAGCACTTCAGTTCTGACTTAAATCATCATAGTTTTAATGAGATGAATGATGACACGTAGGGAACTTTCTTTTCTCCGGTTGTGATCCACTTATGTATGAATAACTTTGAATAATAGGAAGTACCTCAACATCCTGTGGCCATACAGGGTCCTGGCCTTGTTTCGTTGACGACAGATGTGTGAACAAATCAAATCAATTATTCAATTCACTATGAAAATAGAAGCACACAATGAATTCTCCTTTTTTTGTGTGTATTTATACAAAAAATAAACAGTGCACTTGTTATCAGAGTATACCAAACCCAACACATGCTAATAAATACACATTTATTATCGAATCCTCGACATACACATTGGAATGGTAACTTTTTGGCAGAATCAATAATGTGTACTATTTAGTATATAGAGGAAAAGTCCATCAAATTTAAATATTTCATCATGTCCATTGGTTTACTTCTAGCTTTGAAAGATAAGCCTTTTAGCATTGGTAACACCTTGATATAAGAAAAAAACAACTTTCTATTAAGAAACATGCTTCGAAACATGATAACAAAATTAAAATTCAATTTTTTTCAAGTTCGCTGTGTTTTATCCAAACAAGGATTTAAAAAATAAAATTAAGGATTATTTTAAAAAGTCTCCGTTTTCAGATTCTGGTAATTAAAAATGAGTGATTTGTTTTTTCTTTCATGTGTTAGATAAATGTATAAAATATTGTGAGTTTAAAGATATAGCATGATGACATGTATATCATTATAGCCTTTAACGTTATGGTTGCTAATATATCAGTTGTCTATTGCTTTGGTTCAACGTATTCACAGTAGAGCGTATTTTCATTATATTTTGTAGTCTATTACAATCAGTAATCTTATATGATATAGACCCCATAAAGTCATATATATTCATGTAAAAAATGTATATCTCTTTGTCTTCCATGTTTGTTGCTTTTAACCACTATAAAGTTGTTATGGAAATGTATTGTTTGTATGATGGCCAGTTTAATATTTGTAGTTCTACTTCTTTATAAACTAGTTCTTGGTATAACAAATGTAATTTAACAAAAAAATTCCTCTTTGTATAGACAAAGTTTTACTTCAAAGAAAATTGTTTATATGTTGAAAGTAATTTAAGTATTCAACTGTGATATTGAAGAGTTGAAGGTGTTTCAAGGTCTTGGGTAGATTATTTGTCTGTGAAACCTTCAGTTTAGTTTATTTCATCAATACGAGTATGGACACGAAAGAAAAAGAATAAATTATATGCGCTATCTATAAAATATAAGTGTCAACTAAACAAGTTTATTGTTGTTTTCTCTGTAACGTACGTTTACGTTCAGAAAATGCAAACAAAAACAATTAGGTCTATAAAACATGCAGGGAGCACTGGTTTTTAAATAGAGCATAAAATCCACTGAAAGTAACGTTTTTAATACAACATACATAGAAAAGATTGTTCTTTTTTTTTAACTAGAGCATAAAATCCACGATGTCCTTGTAGCTTTTGGGTTTTCAACTTTTCGTTGAGATATCGTTCTGAATTACAAGAACATCACTCGCGACTCCAGAGGTTTCTCAACATTAATGGTGATTTGAGAAAGAAGTAAGACTGAAACGTTAATCGTTTATTTTTTTTCCTTGAAAATATATCAGAGTTTTTACAAGGATTTTCTGCTGTCTAAACTCATCAGTCAGTTTTTTTGTTACTTTTAATGGATTATACAATAATTGGTAGATTAAATAAAATTAGTTAGGATATTAGTGTTATAAAGGATAAACAGACATAGAAATATCCGTACGAAGAAGATAATGTTGTTTAACACAGTCAGTAATTTTTCCCTATGAATAACTCAAAAAACTTTAGAAAAAAGAGACCATGGTATATTTTAGGAACAAGAAAACTTTTACACGTTTGACGAAATGAAATCCATTTTTGGCCTATGTGTTAAAAAGTAGTTAAAAAAAAGAGTTGGAACTTGAAAATCATGAAAAAGGGATGTTCTTTTGATTTATGAGTATTTTATGTTTGTTGAAAAACTGAGTAAAAAAACCGAAAAAAAGGCATAACTAAAGATATTTTATCTTCACTCTTAAGTTCAAAGGTCGTATATAAATATTCATGTGGTAGTTGTAAAGCCATCTACACAGGCAAGACATATCGTCATTTACAAATACGCGCCCTGGAACACTGGAGTTTTTAACAGAACTGGACTTAAACTTCAAATTACATTAAAAACTCCGTTTAAAAAAAAAGAGGACAAGTGGTATACGGTATTCAAATACATCTCTGTATATTTACATTGGCCTGTTTATGCACACACATTAAAGATGTTTATAAACCTCCAAATGTTTTAGTAACATCCTTCTCAGCTCTAAGAATGATAAATTAATTCATCCCAATTAATCTATCTAGATGTACTAAGGATTTGTTTAAGAATTTAGAAACGAATACGGGTAATTGCAAAGAAATTATCTCTGTGTTTCTTCAAAGTAAAACGTGAGTTTATTCCCACTTTTATGCTAGAATATTGAATGGCAAAATGAAATTCTGACTGTAACATAACTTGTAAAGTAATGAGGTCTATCAACATTTAGAAGATTTAGGCTTGAAAAAGTTTTTATTCTATAATCCTAACTGTATACATGTGTTCTGTAAATAACTAAAAATTCGCTTCTTTAAGAATTCATAATAGAAATACTAACTTTTTTATCGATAGTGTTGTCTTAATTACAAAATGTTTAATTTTCAGTTTGTTTTGGAGTTCTTGTAAGTATAGTTTCCTTCTTAAATAAAAAATGTCTTGAAAGTGTAACAAAATCGTTGAAACATAAAACGATTTAATTTCTTCAGTGCAAAAATTGTTAGGGTTATAATAAAATAATTCACAGTTGCTATAACAGTAGACAATCTTATTCTCTTGTTTTACATGCTTAGTATGCTTATAAAAGAGTTAAATATTGAAATACAGCTATTTAAATTAATAATAGTTTTACAGAAATAGTTTTGTTTTGAGCCTTAATGACAATATCTAAAATTACGTTCAAATTTCACCAAATTTTCTAAGTGTTTGTACATAGTTTTTGAATGTGTTGATATTATGCTCGCGATATTTTTGAGCATGGGATGTAAACTGAAAATAAACATTTTTTGTTTTGTTCTGAATTTTATTCATGTTTTGTAAACAAACAAACAAAACAAATAGAATAGCTTCTTCCCTTAAATATTAAATTCACATAATCAGTTCCATTGCTATTTTAACATATTTCAACTCTTTATGATATATATAAAAAATCAGAGTTTTTCACGACTGAAGAGTTGTCGAGTAATAGGAAAATAATTAAAAATTAATTTCCTGAATATTAGAGAAAAGGATCATTTTTAGTAAGACTTTCTTTTTTATCGTCATTCATATGAAACTCCTTATCTGATGTTGTTGAGAACCTAGAACTCATACGAAAGTCTTTTAATAATTACTGGATATAGTTGTAGCCGAAACTGATCTCTTTGAAATTGCGATACGAATAAATAAGCTTAATTAATTAAAATTGTCCATGTTAAAGCTCTTGTATTTATGCACACACTATAGTTATATCAATTTTAATTTCAAGAAGGAAAGTGAGCATAAAAACAGTATTTCTTTACCTACGGTGACATTTAAAAATAACCTTAATAGAAGCTATATAATAGAAGCTGTATATGCGGGTCTTGTGTGCTGGAGCAACTAACGTCCAAAATGATAGTATTAGCTGCAGACAGTTAATAGAAGCTGTATATGCGGGTCTTGTGTGCTGGAGCAACTAACGTCCAAAATGATAGTTTTAGCTGCAGACAGTTAATAGAAGCTGTATATGTGGGCCTTGTGTGCTGGATTAACTAACTTTCAGAATGATAGTTTTAGCTGTAGATGTGGGCCTTCGTGGGCTTAATAACTTATAACTATTTCTGATTTTTGTACCTAATTTGATCCACAGTAGTATAGACAACGCTGTGTGTATATGGGACAGTCAGAATACTATGTTTTCTGTACATTGAGTTCAAAGGAATAATCAAACACATACCTAGAGAAATGAACGTATGTTAAATAACTTTAGTATTAAAAGGAAGGGGTGTAGAGAGGAAGGTCTTTAAGTAGTGTTCATTAGCATTTGAAAGAACCGGTATGTAATTAAACTCGGGGATGTAGACTTGGCTTTCAGCGCGTGTAACCGAAGAATCTTCGGCA